TTGAATAATACACACAGATTCTTATTACTCAACACCCTTACTATTACTATTATTATGAATTAATGGGGAATTGCAACCCAAAGGAACGATATTGGCATATTTGTGTTCTATGGGCCAAATTTCCATTTCTTCATTCCTTAGCGTTCCAAACGGAACATATGCCTTTAGGCTTTTGAAATTTCAGCGGTGGTGGTGGTGCTGTTGCTTTTTTACGAAGTGCGGTTGCTAGTCTGACGCCCAACCTTCCAGCTTTCTCGGGCACACTACCAGCTAGAAAACTAGATGAGGTTTTAGGAGTGCCGCTGCTAACGGGAATCGAACTTCGACTTCGTATGGGATGGACAAGCATACTGTCATTCAACCGTCGATACGCTTCGATCCAGATGGTTTATTATGATCATTATATCATGATCACTGTTACTATTATTATTAGCATTTAAGTCACGTTTCCATTTACACGATAGACACAGATGGCATGTGCGTGTGTGTGGGTGGGTATAATGATTCAACAACAGTATCACCTGAAAAACTACACCAACTGAAGTTATAAACAGAAAGGTAAAGCGTACAAAAGTATACATAATAAAATCTATTGGAATACAACACACACACTTTATATTGTATTTCTTCTTAGTTCAAAGAAAGAAGTTTTCAAAGTTTGGAGTTTGGATTTCCTTTGTGTTTTTGTTGTTGTTGTCCTCATCATCCTCCTCATCCTTGAGCATTTAAATATAAACATAAACTTCTCCTTCTTATTTATTCTTCATGAGAAACAATAAAAATCACTTTTTTTATTGCTTTAAAGTACTCAAAAGGCGCTGTCACTAGTTAAATGTGTGTGTGCGTTCAGTATCTAAATGACAGAACCTACCCTGAAAAGCTCACTAAGGAAACATCAGTTGCATACAAGCTGGGTGATACGCTTTGCTAACAAATGTCCCGATGAGCACAAAAATCTTACATGCAAAGCTACCTCCCGATAGCTTTCAACCATCCCAACACTGAGTATTGTGTGTGACTGATTGAATTGATAACCTGTTTTCTTGGAATGTGCTCAGGATGCTAAGAACCGATGGCTAAAGATTGTTGACTGGATTGGCTAAAAATCACTGTGAATAGTGCAATGCATTCACTTTTATGTAATCTCCCAGATCCTTTAAATCCTCATGTTATTTCACATTACTATCCCTTCTAGCTACGTGAACGGCTGTCCAACGGTGTTGAAACTAAGCTCAGTCAGAATTGAGACCAATCTGTACTCATACGTGAGATCTATGTGATAAATAAAATATATGAAGTATTTTGATTTGACACTAGTAACTACTGTGATGTGTCTAGTCCTTTCTTCGGTGCAGAATGAATCAGTCAGGTTTGCAATGTGGCCACCATTCTAGGTAGCTAGCCATCACGGTGCACATTGATTTGATGATAGTTGGAGGCAATCGGCAGGAAGCCTTGCTTGACTTAGGTTTCGTGCTAGCTGGCACTCGTCAGTAAGGCCTATCTGCAACTAGAATCCAATCAAAGTACTCGTCATAGTCCCACGGGAAGTCAATCGCGAGCCCGAATAGCTCAGTGGTAACGTCTCTGACTGCAGCACTGAGAGAAGGGACATGAGTTCCTTCAAGGGTGCAGATACACCTTGCTGACTGGTAAGTGCCAACAAGCACGAAATCTAGGTCCAAGGCTTCCTGCCGATTGCCTCCAACCATCTAATATCATTCGACGAGATCTACCTATTGGTACCGGTTTCGCACCTTATAGCTTCTCCTCAGCCGAATAGGGAATTTTTCAAAGGCTAGAGGGGAAACCTGTTTCTAGGCTCAAAGTTCATGCCGCTGGCTGTTCTCTTGACACTTTTAGCTCCGTGACCTCAGGTTGTTTGCCGTTGTGTATGTAGCTAGGGGGCATTACCAACCATAGGGCAGTAGGGGGGCAGAGACTGCTAGGAAGGAAAATTCGATTATTTTTCTTAGGAATAGCTTTTACCCTCTGATTTATATACCATTGGATTCCTCTCGACGAGACGAACCGATTGGTACCCGTCTCGCCCCTATAGGACTTACGGTTGCGGGATATGGATTTTTAAAGTTTTGCAGGTTTTCCCCATTGTGTTTTTGTATAGTAATATACAGGGTATTTTTAGCCAATGAGAATTAAGTATTTGTTTTAATAGGCGTAGATAGGCATCTGTTTTGATTGACGATGCGCGAAGGCGTCCCTGTAGGCTTTACCGTTGCGAAATTATGGAATTTTTGCTGTTCTGCTGGTTTTCTCCATTTTTTTTTGCTTGATTCCGAGGCTGACCGGCAGCTTAACCGGACTTCTACTGGTATGACTGTGGCGACGGTATCAGTAGAAGATAACTTGGGTCGTCACAGCGCTCCTTGAGTAGCTCCGTTGACAGTAGCAGCGGACGCCAACGAAATTTTTCAAACCTCACAACCTACTGATACATTGGCGACGGTACCAGTGGGGGCTGGACTAAGTCGCCATCATTCATCAATCCAAACCCATGAACCCAAGAAATCCAAGAAATATCATGCCGGATCGGCCGTGGCCCGGATTAACAACGACCGCGCTTTCTGCTACCGTGTCACAGGGCAGAAGTGATAAGTACACTACTGAGACACACCAGGCCGCGTGTGACCGGCCTCAAGCAGATGTCCCCTGGGCTCTGCGGTCACGCAACACTAACCTTTCTTCCATTTCAGGTACCCGAAAACGAAACTCAGGCGTGAGGCCAGCAACCCCACCCTGTAAACAAACCTGCTACAGAAACTTCACCATGAGCAATCTCCTTGCGACAAAAGAAAAAGTCTGTGTGGGGACATGGAATGTCCGCACTATGTACGAGACTGGCAAAGCTGCCCAGACCAATGAACATCGACCCTCCGACGAAATTCGAAGTCCTGAATGCCATCAAGATGCTAAAAGCTGGGAAAGCGCCAGGACCAGATGGAATCCCAGCAGAAGCTTTGAAAATAGACCCAGAGACAACAGCGGACTTGATGACGCCACTACTAGAGAAGGTGTGGAAAGAGGGCAAAGTACCCGAGGATTGGAAGAACGGATACTTATTCAAACTGCCAAAGAAAGGAGATTTGAGTCAATGTAAAAACTGGCGTGGAATTATGCTTCTGTCCATTCCAAGCAAGATACTATGTCGCATCATCCTGGAGAGAATTAAACAAGCCCTAGATGAAAAACTTCGTCCGGAACAGGCCGGATTCAGGAGGAACAAGTCATGCATTGATCAAATCGCCACACTACGGATTATCATTGAACAAAGTTTGGAATGGCAGTCACCTCTCTATCTCAACTTCATCGATTTTGAGAAAGCCTTCGACAGCGTCGATCGAGAGGTGATTTGGCAACTAATTCGCTACTACGGGGTGCCGCCGACAATTATACATCTCATCCAACAGCTGTATGACAACGCTGCATGCCAAGTAATCCACAACGGGAGGCTCACGGAATCCTTCGAAGTGAGGACGGGAGTGAGACAAGGCTGTCTACTGTCACCAATGATCTTCCTGATTGCAGTTGATTGGATAATGCGGCAGACAACGGCAACCAACGAGGGAACAGGCATAAAATGGACCGACACAAAAGCCTTGGAGGATTTGGATTTCGCCGATGATATATGTCTGATTTCCCACAAACTGGAAGATATGCAAGTGAAAAGCAACAAATTGGCAGAAGAAGCAGCAAAGATAGGACTTCAAGTGAACATAGACAAAACAGAGGTAATGAAGATTCCTGGCCAACATCAACAGCAACAACCGACAACAATCAGCATAAATGGGAGGAATCTGAAGGAAACAACTTCTTTCACCTACCTGGGAAGCATCGTCTCAACTACAGGAGGAACTGACGAGGATATCAAAGCCAGAATCGGAAAAGCAAGACAAGTTTTCATTTCTCTCAAGTCTATGTGGAGGTCAACAGCATTCAGCGTCAAAAATAAGATCCGTATTTTCAACTCCAATGTGAAGTCAGTACTACTATACGGATCAGAGACTTGGCGTGTCACAAAGAGCAGCTCAAACAAGCTACAGACCTTCATTAACAAATGCCTTCGCTCAATACTCAAGATCAAATGGCCGGAGAGGATCAGCAACAAAGATCTCTGGGAGCGAACCAACCAGGAACCGATCGTGAAACAAATAGGCAGGAAGAAATGGAGATGGATTGGACACACTCTGAGGAAACCAGCAAGTGACATCACTAGACAAGCCCTCGAGTGGAACCCGAAAGGGAAGCGACGAGTTGGTCGTCCAAGGGTGACCTGGAGGAGATCATGTGAAGAGGAATTGAAAGCGTGTGGGCAGACTTGGAGCCAGGTGAAAACTACAGCAGAGAACCGAACGCAATGGAGACGCATGGCTGAAGCCCTATGTTCCTCTAGGAATTAAAGGAAATAATAATAATAATCTAATATCATATGAGGTATTTGTTGAAATTATCGCTGAATTACCCGTTAATGCATTCTGCTGGATACAAGAGCTCTGCCTGCATTGGCACATCCACCTTAGAGTACGGCGACTTCAATGATGGGCATGTCTTAATCAACCAAATTAACTGAAGCATAACCACTTGGCAGTAACCACCGTCATGTCTTTGAGGCTCAATCATAATATTCTTTATTATTCCAGCAGTTAAATCTGCAATATGATCATAATGCTAGGCGATTCGCCATTGAAGTACAGTTTGAATTGTTAGTCAGTTAGTTATACTAGACACATGACACCGAGTACTCTCCCTAGTGCTACAGTCTTTAACTGAAGCACCGGTTCATATGGATTCGAATCATATATTCCAAGGTTTCACATACGTTTTGTTGAGGAGTATCAAGACAAATAAGGAACCCTTGATACATGGCCTTTCGCCGATCGCCTCTCACTCACTACCCATATTCACTCAGTCAGTCACATAGAGGATACAGAAGAGACAGATTCAAGGAAATTAGAAATAGTGGAAAAACACTTCACACTTACTTTTGCTTCAATGTCTGCACATTTCTGCTCCAATTGTTTTAATTCCATAGTTAATTCACGCTCTCTAGCTTGGAATGCTGTACGTGATTCAAGTAGTTCTGTGACACGTTTATCTAACCGATCAGCTCTACGATCGGATAGTTCTTGTTGTGCAGTTAAATCAGTAATCTGATTGATTAGAAAAGAAGTAATATAATAATAATAATAATAGTAATAATAATAATAAAATCAAGGTTAATAAAACAACCTTTTTTGCATTCCTTTGCGTTTCTAGTGGAACATAGCGATCCAGGCTTAAAGCCTTGAAGTTTCAGTAGCCACGGTGTTGTTTTCATGCGGCAAGGTTGCTAGCCACACACGCCCAACCTTCCTTCTTTCTCACACACTGACTACCGAGTAGTGAACTGCATGAGGTTAGGGAGGGAGGTGATCGAGAATCAAATGAGAAATCACATACATCGTTGGCAACCAGTCTATTATTAGACTAGCCACAAAATCTCCAACTAAGCTGATATCAGAATACAGAACGCACAACTACTCACCACTACATGGATTATGAATCCTTTATTTTCACAGTTGATAAACTGCAATGTAGATTTCATTATGAACATCTGTTTGAGAATCACAGAAAATTAAGGGGCCGTCAACGACTGTTTAGTTTAAGTTTTAGACTCTTCAGCAATGCGCATCCAGGGACTTTCAATCGACGAGGACAGCCTACTGACCATTTAACCATTGGGTTGGTTTCCAGTGACTTCTTCTGTCAATTCGTGACACAATGGATCGAAAACTAGGACAAGGCAGCTTCCCCGGTGCTCCCTGGTTCCTAATAATTCTCTAATTGATTTTGATTCGTAACAAAATCTATGCTGACATTAATCAGAATCCCAGTGGCTGAACGGTCAACGAGCTGGCATCATAACGTGAAGATTCTATTCAACAAAAAAAGGGATCGTCGACCAAGGTTAATACTCAAGGTTAGTCGGCGGCTGAAGCATTCTTATCAGTAGATAGAAGGCTGTATTTCAGTTCCCTTTTCGACATCACTATGAGTTGGCGACCCATTTCACTCACATCCCTTAGACATATATTACCACACCCGTCTTATTTCTATCTTATTGTACTCATATTTCCGAAAGTACTTTATCTTTTCGTTGTCTGTTTCACGCATGTCTACTGAACTTTATATTGACCTTTATTTATTTATTCATATGTGTAATCAATTTGTTACTCAACCATATAAAAGAAGTTGTAAAGTTGTATGAGTACCTTGATATGATTAAGAGTAAATTTATCAAATATATTTCCTCTATGATGGAATTATATTCTACAGTAGTGCCCAAGTTCTATTCTTATATCATATATTATGAAGACAAAGTACAACTTATACAGGGACAATGGAAACCAGTCAGATAGAGAGAGAGATCAATGAGTGTGAGGTCAACTACATAGGTCAATCAAATAGATCGGGGTCATTTAGGTCTTCAAAACATTGGAATTTAGCTAAGTGTGGAATGACTGACGTCAGAAAGATGACCATCTTAGGAAACACTCACCTTCTGCAATGCATGCACTTACATACAATTGCACAATAGGGTGAAACAGAGCTACAATTCTAGAAAGTAATAAAGTTAGGTGAAGGGTAGAGGAAGGGAGTGGCTGATCACTGAATACTTGATCATTGAGTATACACCTAACACACGTTCATTAGGAGTGACACAACACCTAGGCCAGACATATGGAAAATATTATTACCAATAAAACCAAAGAATAAGATATAATGGAAATATATATATAAAAATATCTGAACATGATATGATTACCAGAAACATATTGTATTCGAAATGTGATTAGTAATTAAAACTTATGGTATCACTCTGTTTTTATCAATTAAAAATCTATTGTTAAAGTCCCTACCATTAAATGCATATCGTGTTGAGGACCAAAGTCAAACGGGCAGTCTACACCTTGCATGGCTCAAAACAACAGTCAAAGACTTCATAAATTAATGCCATATTTTAGCCTATCCACCACGCCCGACTGTTTTCCAACGAAATCCTGTATCAACTAACAGAACGTGACGATGAAGCCGATTACTTCGTGTGCGTAACACATGTCGTCATAGTCATTTCTTAATCGACACGACACCACAGCTAACTATTCACTAACTGATTTTGCATCTTCTCCATTCCCTCGCTTTCCGAATGGAACATACCGGTTTCAAATTCCTAAATTTCACTAGGATTGGTGATTTTTTAGCGGAGTGGTGAAGCTATTAGCATTACGCCTAACGTTTCATCTCCTTCAGGTTTGCCACTGGCCAGATGAGGTTTACGACTGCGTCGGCTGGGAATCCAACTGACGTCTGCGAGCACCCTACCAATGAATCATCGACGCACTTGAGAGTTGATTTCGTATGGGCTGTAAAATTGATAACACCAAGCAAACCAGCCTTTACAAAACTTTGAAATAAAGTTAACAATGGCGTAATCATATGAAATAATATTATTAATAGCAATACCTTTTGTTTTAAACTACTGATTTGATTGATGAATCGTGTCTCCAGTATTCGATCGGAAAATTTCATTTTATTGTTCACTTCTGATGCATCTAGAGAATTCAGTGAACCAATCCATAGGGATGCACGTTTAGTGTCATTGTTGACACCTTTACATTTGCCAAGATGCATCTAAATGTGGTAGTGTAAAGAATAGAAGCATTAAAATAATGACATAAGGCCGAAAACGATGTAAAACGGAACTTTTAATAGCATATTGAAAGTAAAAACAAGCAGTGTTATGACTACCAGCAGATGTGAACCCAAGATACGGGTTGGAAATTTACTTCAGAGCGTCACATAACGTTGTCTCGACGAAGGTATTATATTTGTTCAGTGTGCCTTCCTTGATTACACATCGGCTTTTGACCCTGTACCCAGGCCTGTTTTGTTAAACAAGCTTACTGTGACACAAGCAAGCTGCTGGATTATTAGGTGGTTGTGTTCTTACTTTTCTGATGCCAAGCAGTACATTGTTTATGATGGGAAGACCTTCACTGCTTTACTTGCTCTAGCTGATGTTCCTTAAAACGCTGTTCTTTCCCCTTTTCTGTCTTCCTTCGTTTCACATGACTTACCTGTCCCAGTCTGATGAAGCCAATTTTGTAAAGCATGCCGATGATCTGACTGTTTCTATGTCCGTTACTACTCTGTCAGACTGTTCCAAGATGAATAGCTTCCCCTTAATTTCTTCCGAGTTACTTATAAAGGGCTTTGTTCTACTGCGAAGGGCGCTAAAGACGTGAATGAGGTGCCGCTGAACACTTGGACTCATGCAAGAAATTGGCGAACTTCACGAAATACGGCAGCATTAATATGTCCCAGTGTTACGCACTGCTTTTCAAACAAAGCGGTTGGTTACCCACAGTGTCAGAAAGAACATTTTAAAAAAGAATGAATGAAATAAAAACAACAATATAAAGTTTGCTTACCTGCCAAAGTGAATCTAAATCATCAAAACGCCTTTTAAACTCTTCAATCTGATTGACTAATTCTGTTTCTCTAAGTTTTGCTCCGAATAATTCATCTTTCAAGACAGCGATTTGTTCAGCTGCACGAAGTGACTGATCTGTTTTCGACTAGGTATTTGAGAAAGGGGGAATTAGAAAGGCAGAAGTGAAAACAACACAACAGGCTAACAACACACAAGTGGTACATAAACATTGTGTGACAGTGATGCGTGGACCAGTTTTAAAGAGAAATATATCAGTGAAGTCGGTAACTCATCAAATGTTGGTTTCAAAAACTTATCAAAACTAAAGAGTATTGAATGTTTGTTGTGTACTCAGTGCCAATCAACCGGAACAAATTTCTCATGGTATCAGGCTTCTTATGTAAGTGGACTACCTGAATTTCCTTCCAGCATAGTGTATAACATCTTTGTCCCTTATTTGTTCTAATCATCCAATAATATTTTCGGGTCATTACATAAACTCGCGCACATATTCAATTGGCTTTTAACGTAATGCTGTGCACTTCTTGGAAGAAATAACGGAAAAACGTCTTAAGGCATTGGATGTTTCTTCAGAAGGAGCGAAACTAAGTGAAATCAATTACTTTACTTGAAGATCCTGCACAAGAAGTAAGTGAACCACTATTTTAAAAGCTTGGAATTCTGTACTCTGTTAATTTATTGTTTAAAATATAGCTATTATCATTTCTACTACTATTACTATTGTGTAAATGAGGTGTGATGACACCACTATATTTTTGCCCAAACTAGAGTAGGAGGAGTGGGGCTCAAACTTCACACTCGTTCGCTGGAAGTCAGATGTTAAGTCAATGACTGAGCCCCATTTCCATGAGCTGATTACCGATTAGTCTGGTGAAGATTCATTGTGTAAAACAATAAGCAGCTTGAAAAGGTTAACAGGGATCAAAGTGATGAAAACAATCATGTCACGAAAGATGATGTTCTTAAGAGTCTTAGGTCAACATATTTCTACAAGTAGAACAGCGTGTTGGTTGATTACTGTGAAACTGCGATCTTGTGTCAAACCGCAAGACCTAATGACACCAGCTGGCATTTCAAACCGCGGGAGGTGGAGCAGCATTCGAACCAGTGACTCAATGGTTTGAAGTCAAGCGTATACACCAATACGTTTCAGTAAATAATTTACGCATCGGTGTGTGGATATTCATTCAACAAGGCTACAACATCAGTTATCATTGGACCGACTACAGAGAAACCATAACTTTACAATATTTTGCATGAGTAATGCAGAAACAGTTTAATAAGGCAGAAACTACCACTGTCCAACAAATATGTAAAAGCGAATGGAGACAGAGGGGAAATACGCTGAGGGTTCCAAGCGTAATCACACATCTCAGAGATTGTTAAGTGGGAACAGAGTGGGGTGAGACGAAATTGGTATGAGAAACATCAAACAACTTTTGGGTGGCTGTACAGGAATTCGAACCTGGGATCTGTTCGCTGGAAAGGTCAATGCCTAGGTCTTTTCAAGCCTGGGTCAACAGCTTCTTGGTGGATGACTCCCATCTAACAGCGCCCATTCTAAAAAACCGTGTATAATATTCCTAATCAGTATGATGAATGTCTCATTCATTACCTAAGCTATTCACTATAGACGGATAATAACCACCACCACCACCACCGTACACAACAAACTACTTGAAATTGAAAAATGATAGCATATACTACTGATTAACATGAGTAGTTGCCAACTACCTGTGCTACTTAGTACTAGTTGCCAGCCAGATCAACGTGATCTAGACACCACATGGGTGTTGCATTGGTGTGCAGTTGAATTCAACTTTGTGAATTTGAAAATGATTGTCAATTAACCATCTCAGCGATTTTGTAACCACTTGATTTCGCCACAGATCAGTCTAGTTCTTCCATCAGCAAAGATAGTCGACAATCAACATAGAGAGGAATGCTACTCATAATCACAAAAGCGCACAACAGAAATATTCTAAATATTCTAAAATAATCACACCGAAATAACACCATTCAACACTGCTTACCTCTTCTAATTCATGCAGTTTACATCGTAATTCATGCGAAACCTTTTTAGCATCCGCTTCGTTGAAACGTGAATTAACCAAGTCTGTTTGTAACTGATTGATTGTTGTTGATAAGAGTTGATCGGTTTTTGCTTCACCATTATAATTCCCTGTTCCATTATTATTATTGGCTTTATTATTGTTAGTGCTATGATCACGATTTCTTGATCTTGGAAGTGTACAAAAATCATATGAACTATTCGGTGAATGATTACTATCCATTGTGAAATTGACTTTAGAATAATAATTCGGTGATCCTAAATTCATAGGATGATGATGACCATTTGTTATTGTTTGTTGGTGTACACTGTTGTCCTGAGGATTATGCGTCAGCTGATTGCTACCATTGGTTAGTTTTGTGTTAGTTGTATTATTTGATGAAGCATCGGTAGTAGTGACAGTGGTGTCGGCAGTATCGGTGGTGGGAACTGTTTTCGCGATTGAACCCTGCATTGTCGTCGTTGTTGTTATTGATGTGGTAGTAGCAGTAGCAGTAGTATCCTGTGTACCATCATTATGTATCATTCGATGATTCGGTATCAAATTTATGTCGTCTTCAGCTTCACCATTCAGTAATTCATTTGTATTCTGTGATGGATTTAGCAGAGAATATTCTCGTCTTAAAATGGCTAATTCACAACGTAAAGCTATAGCCGCTTCAGCTTCTTGAGCACGTATTAACTGACACTTTACAAGATGGTCGGCCATTACAGCACTTTCCTTCAAAGAAAAACCGATTTTAAAAAATAAAATGAGAAATTACACCAGTATTAGGAATAAATAAAACAAGTGAACTGAACAAATTTGCACATATTTAGGTATGATTCAAAGTGCACTAAGAATGGTGAGTCTTGTACCTTCGTGACCAACACCACAGCAGACTTCAATGTAGGAGAAATCGTGCAAGGACACTAGACCTATGACACTGGTTGAGGCTATAAACAGCATAATTATTGTGTGGCAGCTGATGATACTACCCACGTGCACAGACAGAAGTAGGTGGGGTGGGATTCGAACTCAAGACCTACTGACTGGAAGCGAGTGTTTAAGCTAATAATTCACTTCCCCACCATCAATGCACAAGATACAGCAGTTGCACAAGAAGTCACCTAGCGGGCTGAATAGCTCAGTCGTAACGTCTCTGGCTGTAGAACTGACTGACTTGAGTTCAAATTTCCGGGAAGATATCAGTTTCTTTGAGTGTTGAGATATGCCTTACTGACTGATGAGTGCAGTCCAAATTAACTGACTGAACACAATCAGCACTAACATCACGAACTAAACGCAAATACACATATGACAACCAATGATTAATCACAATGCAAACATAATTCTACGTTGCGTTTCTCAGTAAATTTCACTATGAACCGAGACTAATCATAGTGTTGCTGCTGGAACCTCAAGAAGATTACAGCGGTTTGTTTCATAGAAAATTCTGTCTGTCTGTCTGTTTTTAACATAGAAATTCGCATATGTGCAGCAGTTCAAGTCGCCACACTCCCTTCCTGTAGCACACGAAGCAAGAGAAGAAAGTAGAAGAAATGCCAATAGAGACAGTTAACAGTGCTATGAGACAAAAGAAATAGCAATAACGAAGAACCATATAGTTTCATTGGAAACTATAAGTCACAAGCAGTGGATGCATCTGCGCCAGCCATTGAGAACGATTTTGAGCCATATCACCGATTGTCTCAAGCCATTGGTTTTTACCGTCCCGAGGATCCCAACCAGGAAGTCTACACCTTCCTACGTGGCTGACTTAAACTAATTGTTGTGAATTTCATTGACTGGTGTCATGTTTTGGTTTGACTGCCGCTAGCTCTTTTCCAGCCTGACCCTATGTCAGCTAACATTGCCCGTCGAGGAAGGCGATGACTAGGCATACGTAACACATGTCTTAACCATCTCAATAGATGTAGCTTCACAGCCTCGTCGATTGATTCTCCCTCCTTACCTAGCACTCGACCGAAGCCTAACCTCAGTATTGCTTACCCTACTATACCACTTCACACTAGAAATAATTCACCGGGTTTTTCATGACCTCCACTCTCAAAGGTCAGGTCTCACAGCCATAAAGGAGGACGGAGCGGACTGTTGAGCAGTACACGTATTACGCTCGATAGCCAGCTGGATATCACGTCTACGCCAGAGGCGGCGTAAACTGGAATATGCGAAACCAGCCCTCTGTATCCGTGCTGAGATTTCGTCAGCAAGCAACCCGTCGGGGCTGATGGTACTTCCCAAATAGGTGAAGTGGTTAACACGCTCCACAAACCACTTCACCCCTATTTCTAAGCTAGGAGTCAATGTAGTCCAGTCCAGTCCTGTAGTATCATCTTACATTTGACAGCACGAGTGAGTCGCATGCCAAACATTCATAGATTGCAGCTCAAGGTGTTCAGAAGACTCGGTATTTTGTCAGCGTTTTCACCTACAAGGACTATATCATCTGCATGTTCTAAGTCAACGAGACTATTGTTCCTTGATGGTAACAAGTCAATCCCTGAGTCACTGAATTCACTCAGGGTTAAGTCCACTAGTACATCTATGATGGAATTGAATAGAAATAGGGATAGTGGGTATCCTAGACGGATACCACTAGTTGTCACCAGTTCAGATGACAACTCGCCGTAAGTTCTCACCTGGCTGACTGCATGAGTTCGAGTGGAGTGCCTTGATCAGTGCAATGTATTTTCTCGGCATTCCTTTTACAGCCAAGCATCGCCATTATAGAAAATTAGGTCTGCACTATACAAGCGAACCATGAGACCTGAGTAAAACAGCTGATCGCTCAATGATTATTAACCCAACCCCCATCCAAGCAACGAATCTACATACACTTGTTCATCCGGCTGTAATAATATTTTATGCCATGATAAATTCATAAACATTGTATCATAAAAATTATTTTTAAAAAAAAATAAATATTCACAAATGAAGGACAAAGACGACAGTGAATAAAGGCCCTAAAATAAATAGACTAAGATCTACCAGACAGATAAGGTGTAATCTGTCTACAGTGGTGTAGCAATCCAATAGGTCTACTACACGTTTTCTGATTAGTAGATTCCAATTGTCTGATATCAGTGACAAACAACTGGTTATTACAAAGTTAGTGATTTACTTAGACTATTTCATCGTTAAGGATATATTGATCAGTATTCATTTGCAGGACTATTTACAAGTTCGTCTTACTGATTTTGTATGTAGGTGTGTGTGTGTGTGTTGCGGGGGTGGGGGGAGGTAGTCCCGTTATGTGAAGAATAGTGATAATCACATAGAATACAATAAAATGCATAAATTGGTGTAGACACTCCTGATAATATCATCGGTCCAGGGCTAATTACATGGCTAATTCACATATTCCAATGCAATGACTTCTTCGATAATAATGTCAAATATGCATGGAAGATAATCTATACGGTCGTCGTAAGAGAGAGATTCCCGTGTTACTTTAGAATCCTACAAAAAAGTTTATTCGACGTAACGCACTAAAAACTAGGTGATGTATTGTTCACAATTTGTCTTATACAGCCTTATCCCCTCTGTTTTTTATTGCAGCTTTCCACGTATATGGGATAGGTGTTGTGCCGTTCTAATTGCATATATTCGGCGTGGATGCCATAAACAAAGAAAGACACGGTAAATAGGATCTCTTTATCTACCTACACATACTGCCTCTTAATACATTTACAGTATCTTAGCATATTGTGCGCAAGTGAATGCACAGCAATGGCCTAACATCTTTCTAGACTACTTAACTAAGCGAAATCAATTATTCTAGATCTAGGTATATTTCTGTATTCCGGATAGATAACCTAACCAATCCCCGTCTACTAGGTCGATCCATTTAATTGAACTCATGGTTATTACACGCTGTTTATTACTTTATCTTTGAGTAAGTTGGTTTCATTAACAATAACTCAGTTGTATATATAAACTATCATTTTCTTCTACTTACCGGCAAATCGAATTTTAAAAAAATTCAATAAATAAGTTTATATTTTTTGCGCAGTGTAGTACCCTGTGTTCCAAGGACAGAGCAGTAGGTCAAACATCAAATCCAGAGATGGACGAGTCGAAATTTTGCCTCATACGTTAACGTTGGCTATTGCATACACAGACAGATAAAAGGTCGATTTCATCCTTTTCAAGACAACTACTATCTTATCCAAGAATCAAGTGTTATTATTATTCATCCGACATGTGACTTTAATGCTACATCTTCATGCCACTCCGTTTTCTGATATCATTTCAACCGGCCGCGCCGCTACCCCCCCCCCCAAAAGCATTCATCTCCTCTTCACATCATATTCTTCATGTCGCTCTTATACCCATGTCCAACTTGTCACTTCACATTCTAGTTCGACTAGAGAGTCCGTATGACGTATTATGTCACTTGAAGGTCTCCTCAGTGTGTATCAAGTGCATTTCCATTCCCTTCTGTCTATTTGTTGGCTGGCTCACTGCTGGAGTTCTTTGTTGATTATCCTTTCTCGTTGACGATCTGATCTTTGTTATAAGGACAGCGAAGGAGGCCAGTGTAGTATCTGCGTGGATATGATTTCGGTGACACACATGTCAACTATGTTGATCATATCGAAGTGTTACAAATTCAGGACTTATTCCTTATGTAGTGAGCTGTACATCGCTCACCGATTTCAGATCATCTTGCTTCCCTGATCCTGGCTGGCTTTGATGTCCCTATCCGTGTCATCCACCTACAGCTGAGATGCTGCCTACCCCAAGGTAAATGAAATGGAAGACTTCCTTTAGATTCCCTTCCCCTCCCCCATCAATGATGATAGATATTTTTTATTGGTCGTCAGGCATCTCTTCATCACCTCTATCCTCTTTTAGTTCAAATGAAGTCATGCTGTCTCTGCCCCCTTCTGCCAATAGGTTAGTATTATCTTGTACATTTTCTCAGTTTTGCTATTTAGATAAACTTTAGGCTTTTCTGTGTGAACACATTTCACTCCTAATCTCACAGTGGAATCTCCATCAATCAGTCGGCTGAGTGAATAATCAATTTGAAATTGTAGAGCATTATTGCAAGACAGAAAGTTGATAAATATTCGTGAATAACTGCAGTTCTAACCGCTGGTGCATCTTCCTTGCAAGCAATCCGAGTAACAAGTTAGGAATCATTAAAAACACTTTATTCCTGTCTAATATCATTTGGAAACTTCCTCAGTTAAAAAAATGTTTAGTCCTATTTAGTGAAGAAAGAAAGGAATAGGCAGGAAAAGAAATCGAAAAACCGTAAATATAAGTCTTACTTCTTCTAAACGCGCCAAACGCTGTAACAATAAACCGTTTTCAGTACGCAGACGCTAGAAATTAAATGAAAAGAAAGATTTGAAAAAAAATCAAGTATTAACGAATAGAAAATGAATATAGTTCAGCCTTTTAGCAGCTGTTAACCACGTGACTTCAGGTCTTAAGTGATCAGTTGTAGTATATTTCAAATTCCGAGACTATATGTAATAACTTCATTCAGACATTAGACGTGGCTTTGAGCCAATAAGAGTCAGCATTTTCAAAACTTAACTTAGACAATATCCACAGGTAACTGTCTTCAACACCTGCACGAACATTGGATATTCCAGTGTGGCATAAACAAACTTGTGCGAAAAGCGTGAATTTTTTTCATGTTCCGCAGTTATAACTGCTTACTTGAATTTCGGATCACTAAAGTCCCTACCTTCATCAAACATGTACTACTTGGAATTAATCCTTTACTTTGTTTAAATTAATCAAGGATTTCACCAATTGGTGTTAGTTTCACCCGCGCATTTTCAAAATACCACTTAAATCTACGGGAAGAAGGAGGCTGTAGCAGTAATAGTTCATACTAGCGAGGACGTATGACCTAAACAAAGGTCTAACTCAGGACTTTGAGATTACGAGACGAGGACATAGACCATTCGGTCACCGGGATGGAATCCAGTGGCCGATTGACGCTATGTGTGTCTGCTCATACCCGAGTTGGTGAACCCCGTTGGTTGCAACTTCTCACTTCAACTCTAACACTAACAACACTTCATTCTGTAGTCAGCCAGCAGTGAGCACGAGATTAGTTTTCAAGACAACCAAACGAGGACGAAACAGCTATGTATCTCGCTTCCACAGGTTCTTTAACTGATAAAAGTTTGTGATTTAATTTGTAATAAAGTTATTTACTTTTTTTACTGAAGCTGTAAGTTGTTAACAAAGTAACTGATACAAGAAAAACATGATCTTTTTTTTACAGAGCTGTCTGAAGAAATAATGGGTGTTGTAATGAAGACTTACGCGTAATTCGATTTGCTCTTCTCTTTCTTGACTACGCATTGTCATATATTCCTTCTCTAATCTACAGATACAAAGAAACACAAACAGATAAAATAATGGGGGGCTTAAACTAGTTATAATGAAATACAAGATGTTTGGTGGATGTGGACCAGTGACAGAATCTATAGGACTTACATTCCATCCTATTTGGTAATCGTCAGTTCTATATACTCTCATTCCCCGAAAGAGATGATTTTGGGCCTGATACTTGAAGCTACGAGTCATCACTTCAACTGCTGTTAACATATGAGGACATCGTCACACACACACACACACACACACACAAATACTAATGATGCAGGTATATCCTAGCTGACAAGTCCAATACAGGACACACGAAATGTGCATCCTGAATTCTACCTACTAGACACTAATTAATCTATCTAGAGAAGATAAAAAACAAAAAAGGGTTTACAGAAAATTTACTAATTATTTGTTGTATTGTTATATATTATCTTGGAAATCATAATTGTCCAGCGAAGTTTATTGATATTGACTGTTCCATGAAGGCATTATTTCACAAGCGACAGAAAAATCAACAGAACTTTGCACTAAATGAGGACAACAAAAAGAGAACATCAACATCTCTGAATCTAAAAGAGATGCTACTCCCAGATGACCAATCAAGTTTTTGAAATCGCAACTAAAAGACGCATGAAAGAGATAAATGAAAAACAAGTGAAAATACAGATTGCTGATTGACACTTTTAAGGTAGTTTAAATCGAAATTTTTAGTGTATGCAGATTGCAAAACAAATTTATGAGACAACCATTTTATAGAATCTAAGTAGACGAGAAGTCGACCAAAAAAGACTGCATCAAATAAATGAATTTACAACGTAAGATTTCGCACAGAATTACACCAGTTCAATTTTCCACACTTCATAAGCATTGGCTTTTTGGAGGGATTTTGTTTGATTGCATGAAGGATTTCATCATGAGCTGACATTAGTTAGAGAACCATTGGAAAACTTGGGAGTACTGGACAGCTGTTTCGTCCTAGTTTGGGACTCTTCATCAGTACGCATCCACCAAGGTTCGAACCCAGGACCTTCTGGTTACAAGGCGAGGTCGTAGACCATTGAGCCACCAGGACCCGATCCAATGGCCCATAAATTCTAACTTCTGCCAATTCACAACATAGCGCGACCATTTTGCAATGTCTTCTTCGATGAGTTACTGCCTCATCTTCAATCTGCTTCATAAGCACATAAATTTAGATTTTTTAAAGTGAGAAGGAATCATAATGAACGCAAAGGTAAGGAAGGAGGAATAAATACACTGAGAATACTGATAACTTGATGAATATGGAAATTCAAAAAGAGTGAATGTATCAGTACTACTTACAAGGATTTTGAGTCATATTATCAAACAGTCTCAAAGCATTGGTTTTTTGTGTTTCGAAGACAGCAGGCAGCAGGACAGTCTACAGTACCATAGGTGGCTGGCTAAAACTAACCGTCAATGGTTACATGAATTGACACCTCGGTTTGATGTAACCAACCCATAATCTTTTCCAACCTGCGTCAGTTAGCATAGCTTGTTGAGGAAGGCGACGGATCGGCACGCATAGCATACGCCCTAGCCATCTCAGCCAACGCAGCTTCAAAACCTTATTTTTTGACTTCCACGCCTCCCTACAAAACCAGTACTCTTCGACTAACTTCAGTATAACTGAGAATAGTATGCTACTTGAGACGGGAGACAGATTTCAGACACCTAGCTAGCCTCTTCTCTTCATATCTTGATATCCACTTTCAATGGCTATATTTCACACCCATAAAGAAGGACTGAACGATACCTAGATACCACGTCTTGGCGAAAGAGATAATTTTCGTTGGAGAAAGTCAGAAGAGCCTTTTGTATGAGTTCTGAGATTCTATCAGTAACCAGTCAGTGAGTGAGGATTGATGCAACACTTGGCAAATTAGTGAAGTAAGTATAGTGGTCAGCATCCTCAACCATTTTGCTGGATACCTTTAAACTATGAGCCGGTACACACTAGCTCTTCAGCCTGATCTTACATTGACAGAGAGGCGAGTCACACGCAAAAACATTTCTTTAGGGTGTTAAGGTGACTGTTCACACTAGTCAACTTGAAAACAAATAGAACTGCTAGTCTGAAGACAGAGGAGATAGTTGTAATGTAGGCGAAACTAAAGTCTACTAACCCCCAGAGTGAATAAATTATTACATCTCATCACTTCAAATGACGGATGCAGAAATGAATATATGAAAACAGAAAAGACGAAAAAAAGAATTCAATAGTATAGAAGATAAATGGATGAGGATTTAAATCTCATGGGATTGGAGATTAACACACACACATACACGCACAAATTAAGGCATGCTAATGCATATGTATATGCATAAAGTCTACATTTCTGAAAGACAGTTTCATCCATAGAGGATACAATTCAAATACCGAGAAATTTCACACGACAGAATCGAAAACCTACACTTTATGTACTACTTGAAAAAAAATCAGAAAAACTATTTTTTTTTAAATGTTATTCTGACACGAATGTTTACAAAGAAAACAGATTTTTGGATACAGAGAATTCCTTGGGGAACGTAGAGGCTAAGGTTAGAAGATCCTGATTCCAAATCAATGATTGAAACATCTAGAAGAGTAAATGGAGCTTTAAAAAAATTGTTTTTGAGTAAATAAGTCACTGAAACTTCAAACTCAAACAACATACTACCTGTAAAACAGTATGAAAGCACGAAGTCTTGGACCCCTCATTAGTTTGAGATATGTAAGGAAGTCTACACCGGTCGCTTTGGGATTCACAGAAGACACTGACGGTGACACGGCTCAAAGTTGTTCGCAACAGCGTGAATGTATACGATCTTTGTGAACTTATGGATCTGTCAGACCTTTATTATTCCCCCCCCCATGTAATTATTATTTCTGCTGTACATTTTCGTCTAATATAGTTTCTTGGCATATTTTCTGTCTCCACCTTTATGTGTGCTTTTGTAAGTTTGGTGCAACTTGAAGTCCTTCATTTCAGTTAGTCTAAAGGTATTCAACAAAACAAAAACTGACCACATTTTATCCTATCCTTAAAAAGGTGGAGTTTTGGAGTTTTTAAGTACCAGAAGCACGAAGATGAAGCTAGCATCGACTTTCAGCAAATGGGTCTAGAGGCTACCACCTGCTTCTTCAGATTGAGCAGTTGAATAGCATCATGTGTCCAGAAACGTGTGGCCCGTAGTCCGGTTGAGGGACTTGGCGAGTGCATCACCTAAAATATTTCACATAGGAAAACTGCAAACTTTCGTCAACATTTGTCATCACTGCCTGGATACTGGAGAAAGCTAGGAAGGATAAGTAGCAAGAACCTTTAAGAGGCAATGAACTAGTCAAGAACCTGTTATCCAGCAAATATGCAGAAAGAAATGGAAATGGACATACGCTGAGGAGACAGTCAAGTGAACCACACACCATTTAGGCCATAGAGTAGAACACCAACGGTAAGCGACAAGTTGGTTGTCCGACGGTGTTATAGAGGAGATCATACAAAGAGACGGGAATAGAAGTTTGTGAGCAGCTGTGGGGCGATATGAAAGTGAAGGCAGAGGACAGAATGGAATAGAAAATTTCTGCCACTAAGAAGAATGGTAGTATTACGCATGAAAAATATGACGACGCAGTGTGATAACTGATTAACACAGACCCACATACAAATAGGTATATAGTTAGCATATACTCACTTTTTCATCTTTTTCGTATTCAGCTTAAATGAACAGGCACTTTCAAATATGACGGAGGAATGTTTATCCCATTCTATTGGTCCTTCATGTTGAAGAAACTGAATAAAAACATAAAAGGGAGAAAGCAGACGAGTAAACAATAAGAAGTAAAATGCTATTTTATAACTTAAACCTCCAATAACTGCCGAAAAAAATACTGGGTTAATAGAGGGTGATATATGAGAAAGAAACTCCCGGATAACAGTTTACCCCACTACTCCTCATTAAGATTACGTAAGTCAAGCAAAATGAAGACTTTTTTACATACATATGTGACATAAATCCATTTGTACAATACTACGGAGACATATTTCCTTCAAGACACACTATTCAATTACACAGGTCAAAGTCTTTGAGTTGTCATCGGATCATGTCAACATTATGGGGTTTATTCTCTTTTCAAAAATGTATGATATTCGAAAGTGAATAAAGCAAGCGGAGACCTACGAGTTGTCGAAGAAGCGATGAGATCGAACTCAAAAACTTTTCGACGAGATCAAAGTCAAGGTTAATTGAAACGACAACTTGTATAAAACAGTATTGGACAGAGTGGTATGAAGGAGTTTCCAGGTTTTCTTCAACCACACACGATTCATCTTAGTTGTCATGATGATTTTAAAACGGAAAGTTGAGCGTCAATCCACCTATATGATAAAAAGGTAAACATTATCACTGATTACATTGGAATTAAGACACATGAACAAAACCCTTAGTCAATAGGCGACAGGATTGGCATCCGGGCGATTGCTCGTTCAAGGTATGTTGCAATTCAACATATCAACTATCAAGGGCACACATAGTTCGACGTGCGTCGGTGGCACAGCAACAGAATGCTCGCCAACCAAGCAGGTGGGTTCGATCCTAGGCCAATACACTCCTTTACCTCGTTAAACCAGTAATAAGACTGGTAAAGAGGGAAGCTTGGGTATGAGGCTAGCAACCCCATCCCGTAAAAATAAATACCAGTGCTACCAAAACTTCAAAACTATAGCTTGAAACCCTATGTTCCCACTGGGAACGTATACGAATTTTTTTTTAAAAAAACAGTTCGACAGCGCAGGTACAAGATGAGTCAGAAAAAGGCTGGAGCGCGCATCCTTTATTCAACTGCTAAGCACCATGGTCTAAATTACATAGTCATCAAATGAGACTAGCTTATTTCCTCATTTTATTATTAGAATCCTCATTCCTTTAATCTATGACAGCTCTGAGGAATAAGTACATAAAGAGTCCCAAACTACAACGAAACAGCCGTTCACAACTCCCAAGTGGTTTTTAGAAGTTTTCTAACTGATAATACCTTGATAACATAAAGGGCAGGTAGTCCGTGAATCAAACGAATAACGAAATGCATTGACCTTGTAAACTTTACCACTGGTTGAATTCTGGATATTGTTGAACTGTGCAATAGTTTAGACAGTGCAAAAAAACGATGAAATAAAGGACAACAAAAACAATTCCACTCCACAGAGAGATGAAACACTAACAGGCTGATTATTTCAGCAAAAGGGCATTATACAATGCGCATAAACAAACACACAACAACAATTTTGCAAAACTAACCGTTAATATTATTATCTCAATACATTTACTTACCGCTACCATAGATTCCATATCACATCTAAGTAAATTATCTGCAGAGAATTTTAGAATTGATAAGGCCAATTTAAAGATGAATTGAAGACCCTGTACAGAAAAACAAAGATAAGAACAACTATATTCATTCAGAAGATAGGAGACCGTTAACTATTATTTCAGATAATTAACTATATATATCTAAGCACACAGCGCGAGATAACCACCAACTTCTTCATTTTAGCTATCACTAGGGGAGAAAATGAAGAATCTTTCTTAAAAAACCTTGAGGAAGATGTATTGGCACATTCGGTATCCAATCTGCCCCTATCAAACGTGAAATGTGAAGATGGAGAGTGTACTGATTGATCACTTCACTTATTTGGAAAGTTGCATTTGATTGTTGACACAATTTCCGCACGAATACAAAATGCTCGTGTGACCTTCACCGAATTATATCACCGTTGACGTTATCCAACAAAAATGCATAATGCAAAGCGATTCTGTCTGTCTCTCTAGTTATGGCTGTCCGATATGACCAATTAAAAACGAGGATTTGAAGGGAATAGCTGACTTTTACCGTAGGTATTTGAATCCTAACTCCCGTTTTAAA